CCACACAAGTTCAGGTTGAGTGGAAGTTCATCTTAAGTAACAGGCTTAGTAACCTTAGGTTTTATATTGTGTGTAATAATTTGAATTTAACGAATTTTCAAGCAATCCTCTGGACTGCCTTGTTTTAAACGAACTGTATGTTTGCAGTTTAAATAAATGCATACAGATGATTTTCCCTGAGCTCAGTGAAGAAAGCGAACAATATAGACATTTAAAAAAAAACTTACATTTATATGACACTTTATCACATCCTCATGCTGCCCAAAAAGTTTTTATATGCTTAAACTTAAGTGCATTTACAGTTTTGTATAATTCTGTGCAGTCAACTGAAAGCAATATTAGGTTTCTTTACAGTAGTTTCAGTTGCTGCAATAAAAACCCTAGAGGGAGCTTTATGCAAAGTATATATATAGTATTACTGTTACGAAAGATGCTACAAGAATAGAGTATGATGTATAAAGTGCAAACATATTTATTGCATAGTCAGTTGATGAGAAATATAGTCTAGTAACATTATACAAAGTTTTGAGGTGATAAGTTTTATATACCCTTATGGCAATGTGTGTATGCTGTACGCTCCGAGTATGTTGTATCATAATTGACTTTTTTGAAAAACACCTTTATTCCTCTCTGCCCTGGTACAGTGGAAGCTCTCAATTACGTTCTTTGCCTCATACCTTCCTGTTCTCTCTTCTGTTATATTATCTGAGGTTGCACATACAGCATCACGCCTCCCTAAAGCTATCTATTAAACAGAAATAATCAAATGAGTTAATGTCTTCCCAGTCCTCCAAGGACAATCATGAGTGGAAACATTTTCAGTCTTTAGCTGTCTAATTAACCTGCATCGTTCAGATCAAAAGCCATATTCAAAAATATAAGCCTACAAAGTACTTGGTGGAATAGTTAAGATCAATATAAGTTTCTGCCATTATTAAATAATCTGAAGTAAGTCTTAACAGATAAGTTAGCGCATAGTGGTTCGGTAAGTTGCCAAGATCACAAGTCATTACTGAATGGAAGTGATGGGCTGAATTGAATGGCTGATTAAGCAGTGGCTTATTATTGTTGGAAATTTGAATTTATGTCGGGAGGAATAAACCAACTTCTATTTATGGAGTGCTTTTAGTCAAAGCACTCCACTAGTGGGAATTGAAACTATGAAACAGTCAGAATAGGTGACAGAGTTCTGCAGTATGGGGAATGAGGTTGTGCAACTTTCTGTGATTAATGATAAACAGGCAACCAAAATATTAGCAGTGGAGTTGCAAGCAGAAGGTCTAGCAGAGTTGTACGAAACAGGGTGGAATGATACTGAAGGGATTTTTAGATGAAGGTGAAGATTTTAGTTTTCTGAAGTTTGGTGAGCCCAGTTGTGACTGGAGAGAACCATATGATGGATGAGTTGAATTGTGCGAGATGGAACATGAGAATTTGGGAATAACTGATGAAAATAGTGAAGTTATGGTCTAAAGCTGAACAAAGTAAAAACGATGAGTGACAGATTTCCAAGATTTTCCAAGAAATCATTCTGGCCACTTTGTCCTATGTTTTCCATGTATTTTGTCAATTTTGAAATGAGAATCTATGAGTTAAATATTGATCTGACAATTATTCCAAATAATATCTGTATTTCCAATTGACATTGCTAGTAAGATAGTTTCTCTGCTGACTGTGGATGCATAAATTACGCCTTATGTTTTAAATGATCTGTAAAGCGTGCATTTTTTAAAATTGGAAGATAAACATGGGCCTCCTATCTGAAGAAAGAAAAATGCTTGTGAAAAATGAGTAAACCTTGGATCAGTTAGATTATTAGCCTGCTAGATGGACAGAACTGGATCAAGTTAAGACATGACATGAGCTTCTCCTATTTTACCTTTGGCAGTGCCGTAAAAATATATGTAATGTAATAATTCTGTAGATACTATTCCTTAAAATATAAAATCAACAGTAATTAAGCTTAATGTCTCAGAATATGGAGATTTATAATGCTCCTTTGCACATAAATCAAAAAGATGACACCTACTGAACATTTTTCTCTTATCACTGTTGTATGGACTCAACAGAAGGCAATTGTTAAAGATTAACAAAATGAACTAAATTGGACATGAATATGGACAGGCTATGCTTAGTAAAACAGCACATACCTGTGACCACTTTTGCTGTTCCAAACTTGATGTTCTGTACTTGTACTGTGTGAGAAACGAAACAAATTTGGTCTTACTAATTGCCATATTCTCATGCTCTCCTTTTCACAACTGGCCATAACGTGGAAACATAGTTTGAAGGCAGAATTTCTCCTGCCAAGAGGTGGCAGGACAGAGGGCAGGAAGAACAAATAATCAGTGGGTTGGTACCAAGATACCTGCCTCCATCCTGCAACCCCAACAATCAAGTTCTGGTAATGTATAATCCCTCTGATCTGCTACAATTAAAGTCCATAAGGGCTCAGTTAGTTGTCACTGAATGAGCTCAACCCTGTAATGGCCCCATTATATGCTCCTTGGCTGCCTTCCCAACAGGAAAAACCAGTGTGGCCTTCCTGTCAGGTTGGTGGAAAATGCTTCTGTTCACCCCAGTCTGAGGCTAAATGTGGACATAATGGAAGGAGCAGGAGAGTGGCCATTGAGAACCTTTGCCTTTGAGCTTCCCTGACCCTGTGAAAAAGCAGTATTGCCAGTGAAGCCTCTTAGGGCTGCACTGCCTGAACCTCCATTAATGCTCTCTAGCTGCCATCCACTGATTGACCTTTAGCTTTTGGCCAGGCAGAAGTAAACTGTTAAGGCTCGTGATGAGCCAAAGAGCCTTTCGTATGGGACTTAAATGATTGATTGGAGTTTGATTTGGTGGGCGTACTTGGTGGTGGGAGTGAGGAATTAGTTGCCACTGAAGATGCCTCTCTCCACACTTCAGAGATTTAGTGCTCTCTGCTCTAAGTTTCAAGTCTTCTCATGACCCTGACTGGCTTCTTTTTAAAGTAATTTCAACTTGCATATCATGATGTGAAAAGGAGCATTTGCAACAATGATATGAAGCAGAATTGCAGATGCTGGAAAAGTGAAACAAAGTGCTGGAGTATATATTCTGACCAACGGTCACTGGACTCAAAACATTAACTCTGTTTCTCTCTCCACATGTGCTGCCGCAAGTGCAGTGTTTCTTCGGCATTTTGTTTTTACTTACAGTAATAACACTGTTCTTTTGTGGAAAAGCTTTACTTCAGAAGTTGCAAATAGAAATACAATAGTTTATTTCAAATATTGTTTTAAAATATCTCCTTGTACATCCTTCTCTATTCCTGGCTCTATTTTCTGTTAACTGTTTTGTGCACTATTAATTGAATAATTTTACTTGCAGCACAAATTCATTCATCAACTAATTAATAAGATTTTTTTTAACAAAATAAGCTATTTACAAGACCGCTGTAATTTGGCCTGATCACATTAAAACATGTGATGTTTGACATAAGGGCTCCAACCAGCCTGAACAATTGATAAGATAGCTGAATCGTCCACTGATCTAAATACCGTAATCAAATTAGCTCAACAGCACTCGATCTAATATCGGCCCAGGACATAATTCATTTTTGTATGCATTAGTCCATTTTATCCTTACTGTGTTTCGTGTACTCTACTAGCTTTTGTGAATTTTAGAAAGAAATAAAATAATTTCATTATTAACATTTAAGTTAGCTTATAAAGTGATGGTCCAAAGCAATGTTCCTAAAATGTTGTGGAGCTATTTAATCCTTTAGCAGTGTCATCTATTACTGATAGCTTGTAATGCCCTATGCCAGGGTTACTGTAGGTGAATGTACTGTGTGATAGTGAGTGCAATGAGCACAGCAGTTTAGACCTTCTTCTTGCGGCAGAACGAAACTTGTGTTTTGTTTGTAAAGTTAATTATAGAATATTTAAATGCAGGGAATAGAGTCCCGAATTTCTCTCATTATATTGTTGTACCTGAATATTGTCAAGTATTTAATGTGGAAGGTAATTTGATTTTGTAGTGCCAATAAGTTGATGCTTTCTCTCAGTTTCTTCTTGTTTTATCAGGGGCTTCTCCCCTACAGTTCATCTTTCAACTCTTATTGCAAGTTACAATATTTGCAACCTAATACATATTTTTTTAAAAAGTAGCCAGTTATCTTGATTTCCTACTTGGTTATTACTGCATGCATCCACTTATTTCTAAGGTGAGGGGATTTGATTAAAATTCTACTTTGGTCAGGTGCAAGAAGAAAACTTCCTCAATGTGGAAAGTAAAAGTTTATCTTGTTAGCACTGGGGAAAGAATGGATTGAGGGAGAAAAGAGATTTTGCCAGACATTGAAGCACAATTGCTCCATCACATCCTGCTAATACGTATCTGTGTGCCTTTTATGGTTAAGGCACTTGAGGGCTCTTGGTATCTGGGAAGTCATGCCCTAACTTTAGGAAATGAAATCTGTAAATTTGTTTCTCACAGGCTTCTGAACAAAAACTGTATTTGCACACTGTAGGCCAATGGAAATGGATATAAACATATGCTTACAGATGTAAGTGAAGCCCAAAGTTTTTTTTTTCTCATTTAATTGGCTAGTTGTTCTTCATTTACATCTGTGCATTGATGGTAGAGATCACCAGGAACCACAAAAATGAGTCAGTGTGGAGCCGGAGGATTGATGAAGGGTGTAAACCCGAAACGTCGACTTGCCTACTCCTCTGATGCTGCCTGGCCTGCTGTGTTCCTCCAGTTCCACACTGTATTGACTCTGACTCCAGCATCTGCAATTCTTGCTGTCACCAAAAAAATGAGGATGCATTGTATGTATTTTGCTCTGAAACTATTTACTACCACTAGTTATACATACTGCATAATTTTGTTTCCTTAACAATGAAGGGAGAGAGAAATACTAACATCACTACTTCTTTCTGAGTACATAACTACAAATGAGCTGCAGTTTTGCATCATGTCTCCTTTAAAAGGTGCTCAACTTTGTTATTTCTCTCCATTAGATACGGACATGGTTATGAGATATTCTGTGTTGCCTGTAATAATGCCTCGACTGTGGTGGCTTCAGCCTGTAAGGTATGGTGCAAAAGATTTTGGAGCGATACTAAAAACGTACTGCAATAACAAATATTAGATTGTTAAGTAAACAGACTACTTTTAATACGCAAGTTGAATTTAATGTGTAAAGAGTTTTACTGTAGATGGAAATGTTCCTTTGCTTTTGTCAGTAATTTATGATTAGTGTTAGGAACAATTTTCAGTCCTCCCTATTATATAGTAAAGTGGCTAAGTGGATCACAACATTCAAATGATTACTTATTGGAAAACCCAGTGCTAGCTTCCACATGAATTTTCCGTGACTAAGTTGTCAATATTTACCTGTCATCCTTGTTCTGCACATAGGTGACACTATGAAAGGTCTTTGTACTTGTCTTATGTTATTGGGTTCAACAATATTCATTTCTACAGTAAATTTAAAAAATAGCTTTGTATGCCTTTGCAGACTCCAACCAGTGGAGTATGGCTCTGCGGCATTAATTCTTCTCTAACTGAACTGTGAGTGTGACCCTGAATTGTTTTGTGATTTCCTATAGCCAGACCTTGCTGTAGCAGGGTCTGTGTCTACTATTTCTTAGCTTTGCCCTTAGATGTTTCAGCGTGAACTTATTTGCATGACATTATTATAAGGGCAAGAAGAAAAAGGAAATGGCATTTAGGATCAGAAGAAAGTTGGAATTAACAACATAAGGATTGCAAAACCAGGGTAACTTTTAGTGAGTGATTTTATTGTTTATCAGATGGCTGTGAATAAATACCTCAAAGAGCGCACATGTAAAAAAGATCAAATGAAATAACTACCAGACATCTTATTATGATGGTAGAGAATGTTAAATTCAAACAAAATTCTACATTGAGTGTATTTTGCTGTTGAATTAGTTTTAAATCATCTCTGTTGAGAATAAGCCCAGTGGCAGGGCAAGGATCATTTTATTATGAGTTCAGCTCTGTTCAGCGAAACATAGTACCTTTAAGAAGAAATCATTGGCTTCAGGTTTTAAACTTTAAATTTCTTATTTCTTGATTACAGTTATCTTTGATTATTTTCTGTCTACTGATTTCTTCACCTCTTTACCACTTGCCCATAGGCTGCTATTTTAGTGATTTTGGAGAAGCTGAAAACACCCTTTTCCTTTGACTGCACCAAGGAACCTCTAACTGCGACCTTCCCCTTCCTGTCATTTACCTCTTCTTGGGTCGTGATGCTTTACTCGGGGTCGAGAGGTGGGGGTTGGTCATACTGACAGCAGTCTTTGATTAGCACTGCCACAAGGTAGACAAGTGCTGTTGGCATCCAGTTAGCTTGCATCTCTTGGAGTTGGACCTATCAATAAAGAGCCCTTGATCCTTGGGATGGCTTGACAGTTAAAAAGAGTGGGCCTTCCCAAAATAAAGCAATGCAGCAACTTACCAGCTGTCCTGGCATTGGGTGAGACCCCAGTTTCTCTTTTAAATACTGCCCCTTATATGTAATGTTAACTCTATTTCTGAATGACAGAAGTTGCTGTATAAATGTAACTTACTTTCTTATCCATTGCTCTTTTTTAAGAATTTTGCTGTTGCTTTTTTTTCTAGCCGTTCGAGAATTTAGCCATTTGACCTGGTGTCCAGTATTTGAAAATCGATTTTATTTGCCAGTAAAGTTTGCTTCCAGAAGCACGGTTATGATATAGCTAGATAACTCTAAAACAGAAGTTGCTGGAACAGCTCAGCAGGTCTGGCAGCATCTGTGAAGAAAAAATCAGTTAATGTTTCGGGTCCGGTGACCCTTCCTCAGAACCCCATCCTCAGTGACTGCCTCTGGCTCAGACTCACCTATGTGGATTCCAACTGAGGTTTCATCGCTTATGTTTTGAATCCTCCCAGGATCACAGGTATCTCCGTGATGTTCAACGTTCCACGGACAGCTGCTGTCACCACATCCTGAGATCCACGCTCAGTGCCATGCGACATCACGTGCACACTCGACCTTTCCCACAGCGTCGCATCCCATTGGCTCAAGGTTGCACCACTCCCACAGTTCATCGATTTCGCTTCCAATTTCCGCCCTGTCCTCACGTTCATCTGGTCTATCTCTGACTCCTTCCCTTCCTTGACATTTCTGTTTCCATTTCTGGGGATAGACTGGCCAATATTATCCACTATAAATCCGCTGACTCCTACAGTTGCCTGGACTATACATCCTCAAACCCTGCTTCCTGTGCGACTCCATCCCATTCTCTCAGTTCCTCTGCCTCTGTTGTATATGTTCAGATGAAGCCTACTTCGACAAGGGAGCCTCCGAAATGTCCACCTTCTTCCTCAACCGAGGATTCTCTAGCACCATAGTTGACAGGGTCCTCAACCAGGTTCGACCCATCTCCCGCACTTCCGCCCTCAACCCTTCTCCTCCCACCTGCAACAGGGATAGGGTTCCCCTTGTCCTTACCTACCATCCCACCAACATCCACATCCAGAAGATCATCCAATGCCATTTCCGCGACCTCAAGCAAGATGCCACCACCAGACACATATTCCCCTTCCTTCCCCTCCCTTGTCTGCCTTCTGCAGGGACTGGTCCCTCTGGTACACCCTGGTCCACTCTTCTTTCACTCCCAACAACTCCCCACAGCCCTACCCCTGTAACGGGCGAAGGTGCAACACTTGTCCATTTACCTCCTTCCTCCCCAGTATCCAAGGGCCCAAACATACCTTCCAGGTGAAGCCACACTTCACCTGCACTTCCCAGAATCTAATCTACTGCATTCGCTGCTCACAATATGGTCTCCTCTACACTGGGGAAACAAAAAGTAGACTGGGTGACCGCTTTGCATAACATCTACGTTCTGCTCACAAAAAAGACCCTGAACTCCCTGTTGCCTGCCACTTCAACGCAGCACCCTGTTCCTTGGCCAGTTCTGAGGAAGGGTCACCGGACCTGAAACATTAACTCTGATTTGTTCTTCACAGATGCTACCAGACCTGCTGAGCTTTTCCAGCAACTTCTTTTTTTGTTCCTGATTTACAGCATCCGCAAGTCTTTCGGTTTCTGTTTGTCCAATGTTGATCACAACCAGGGAAGACAGAACTTTATGAACAAGTTCCTGAAATTTTTGCTTGATATTTTAAAATCTTGATTCACGGCAAAGTGTGCTACACCTTGTTATCTCAGTGTTGATATTGGCAGGTTTGTAAAGAGCAGTAATACAGTAAGGAAATATTTTAAATTGCTTGTAAATTTTGATTGAAAAGAATTCAAAAGCCTTAAGCGGTAAACCACTCACTTCTGAATAAAGACGTCATGTCACGCCTCAATAAGCATGTACTCCAGGCTGACATTCTCGTGTAGTATTGAGGGGCTCTGCACTTTGGAGATGCTGTTTTTCAGATGACAAATTAAACTGAGGGATCTCTGTCTTCTGAGATTTTCAGAAAAGACCACATAGCATGACTAGAAGGAGAGCAGTGGAGTTTTTCCAATGTCTTGAACAAATATCTATTCCTTAAGCAAGATGAGCAAATTATCTGTCCTTCTTGTCACAAAGGTAGTGTAAATCCTGTTGCTACAAGAGCAGGTCAAGGGCTGATAATTCTGCGACGAGTAACTTGCCCCCTGATTCTCCAAAGCTTTTCACAAGTCAGGAGTGTGATGAAATTCTCTTCACTTCCAGTGTAGATACAGCTCAGGTGACACTTAGGAAACTCAAAGCCATCTAAGAGAAAGCAGCATACACAATTTACACCTCAATCACAACATGCGGTCACCCACCTTCAACATTTATTCCCTCCACCACTGATGTACTTGCCTGTTTTATAGCTTCAAATGCACTTCCAAAATGCATGATTCATTATAAAGATGGTAAAAAGCACTCCATAAATGCAAGTTGGTTTATTTCATTTATTTGCCTTTGATCTGAGCAGGATTGAGGCTGTGATAATGATATCCTCCCTTACTAATAATTAGTTTATTAACCTTACAAAAAGCTAACTATTTTTCCCTCTGGATATACATTTAAGGAAAGATTTTCTGTTCTTTAAATGAATGGGGCCATCCTGACTAACAAGCCTGGGATGAGACAATTGGTTTCTTTTCATATAAATGCAAAATACTACAGATGCTGGATATATATAAAACATACGTAGAAAATACTGGAGAAACCCAACAGAATTCATGTAGAGAGAAACAGAGTTAAGGTTTCAAGTCTGGTATGACTCTTCAGAACTGCAATTATACAAAACTCTTCAGACCCCACTGTGAGTAGGTCTGGGCACCAGACCTTAGGAAGGATATAATAGACTTGGAGGGAGTACAATGTAGGCTTACAATAATGATACCTGGACTTCCGGGGTTAAGTTATGAGGAGAGAATACACAGATTAGGCCTGTTTTCTCTAGAATTTACAAGGTTAAGGGTTGATCTAATTGAAGTCTTCAAATTAGTAACAGGAGAAAATGGGGTCGTTAAAGATAAACTATTTCTACTGGTTGGGGTTTCTGGAACTAGGGGGCATAGTCTGAGAATTAGGGCCAGCCTGTTCAGGAGACATGTTAGGAAGGACTTCTACAACGGTAGTAGTTGATTGGAACTCTTTTCCACAAAAGCAATGGTTGCTGGATCAGTTGTTAATTTTAAATCTGAGGTAATAAATTATTGTTACGCAACTGTATTAAAGAATATGGGCTCAAGGCAGCGATATGGAGTTACGCCACAAGTCAGCAATGATCTCGAATGATGGAACAGACTCGGGGACTGGATGGCACACTCCTGTTCCTCTGTTCACACTCCTAACTACGCCTCTGGGTGCTCTGGTTTCCTCCACAGCCCAAAGATGTGAAGGTTAGCTGGATTGGCCATGCTAAATTGCCCATAGTGTCCAGAGATGCGTAGATTAGGTGGATAAGCCAAGGGAAATGCAGGGTTACAGGGATAGGGTAGGGGGCGGGGGGGTGTGGGGGGTGCGCTTGTCTGGGTGGGATGCTGTTCAGAGGGTCAGTGTGGACTTGTTGAGCTGAATGGCCTGCTTCCGGACTGTAGGGATTCTATGATCTAGAAATCACCCTGATCTATCCTTTTTTGGTCCAAAATGGATATCCTCACATTTGCTTACATTGAACTCTATCTGCCACAGTTTTACTCATTTACTTTGTGTGTCAATATACCTTTGTAATTTTAAGAAATTCTTATCATTTAGTGTTGGATGGGTGCAGTTCCAAAACACTCAAGAAGATCAACACCATCCAGGACAACTTATCTGATTTGACAGGCTTGACCACCACTTTAAAAATTCACTTCTGTTCTGCTGGCCCTCAGTGGGTTGCAGTGTGTACCATCAGGGAGATGCACTGCGGCAACTCGCCAACATTACTTCGGCAGCACTTTCCAAATCCACAACCTCTACCACCGAAAAGGATAAAAACAGTAGATGTGTAGGAATAACTTCAATTACAGGTTTGCACCAAGTCACAGACCATTTTGACTTGGAACCGTATCGCTATTCCTTCATTGTCACTGGGTGAAAAGTCTGGAACTCTGTTTCTTAACAGATTTGTGAGTATCCCAACAGCCCGAGGACTGTATTGATTTAAGAAGGTGGCTCACCACCAGCATTCACAGGGGTAATTAAGGATTGTCAACAAATTCTGGCCTTGTCAGCAATGTTCACATCTTATTCATGTAAAAAGCAATAAAGCCTTTGAAGTAAAAAGCCTTTGAAGGATCCACAGATCTTGTTGAGAATTTTTGAATTTGACTAGAAAAAGCTCATAGGGCAGATTCTGTTGTCTTCCATGATTTTTCTGCATGATTTTTTTTTTTCACAGGCCTCCAGAGTGGAGCATGCAGCAATTATTTTGTGGAGTACCTCCAAATGGAAGCAGATTCTTGTCTTGCCATTCCACAGTCTGACCGTCACTCAGTTGGCATTTTCACCAGATGACAGATTCTTGTTAGCAGTTTCACGAGACAGAACCTGGTCTCTCTGGAAGCACCATGAAGTGGCTGAAGCTGATTCAGGTAACAATACAATAAGGACACTTAGTTTAAGGTTTACTACAGCTTCATTTAAAATCACTGAATATTGTATAAATTGATATCCAGACTCTACCAGAGTAATTTTTGAACAAATTATTTTACTTCCAGTAATTTGCTGTGTTAACTGGACATGTTAGCCTTCTTCATCCACGAAACATCAGTTTGGGATAAAGAATTCTGCACTTTTGCTGTTCGAGAGTTCACTGATGTAGCAGTTCACTGTTTTCCACATTCATTCTTTCTTTCTTTACCATATGACATATGATTTGTAAAGTTGCAGAACCTGTTCAGCGCAAACATTCCAAAAGCAAAACATTCTCTGAAGAAGGATCCGAAACGCTTATTCTACTTTCTATCCACAGATGATGCCAGATCTGTTGAGATTCTCCAGCAATTTCTGTTCCTGTTTCAGATTTTTAACATGTGCACTTCTTTGTTTTAATCAAAAATACTTTTAACTCAAAAATGCTTCGAACCAAAATTAAATTGAAATCAACTTAGTTCATCTGTGACTATATTCTGAGAGGTTCACAACATTCATTTTTTTTTTCTTGATATTTTCTGTGTTATTAAACTTTGATTTAGGAACTTGTGTTAACTTGGGGGGCTGAAAGGCCTTTACTTCTGTGCTGTACTCCTCTGTGACACAATGATTTCTGTTTCTACTTCATGAAGGATTATTAACTGTCCACAGAAGGTAACTGGCTATTTAAAACTAAAGTGAACAAGCATTATATTGGAGCAAAATTTGCATGAAATGTTGCCTTAGTGTTTGTAGTGTAAATCTAGTTTTGGCATTTCATGAATAATTACCATTGTAGCATGTTTAGACCCTAAAGTGAGATTTTCATAATCAAGAATTTTTTTTATACTCATTTGTGGCATGTCGGCGTCTCTGGCTGGCCCGCATTTATTGCCCGTTCCTTGTTGCCCTTGAGAAGGTGGTGGTGAGCTGCCTTCTTGAACAGCTGCAGTCCACTTGCTGTGAGTTGACCTACAATGCCAATAGGGAGGGAATTCCAGTACTTTCACCCAGCAACAATGAAGGAACGGGCAATATATTTCCACGTCAGGATGGTGAGTGTTTTGAAGGGGAACTTGAAGGTGGTGGTATTCCCAGATACGTTCCCATGTATCTGCTGCCCTTGTCCTTCACTATGGAAGTGGTCGTGGGTTTGGAAGGTGCAGTCTGAGGATCTTTGGTGAATTTCTGCAGTGCATCTTGTACATAGTACACACTGTTGCTACAGAGCGTCAGTAGTGGAGGGAGTGGATGCTTGTGGATGTAGTGCCAATCAAGCAGGCTGCTTTGTCCTGAATGGTGTCAAACTTTTTAAATATTGTTGGAGCTTCACTTATCCAGGCAAGTGGCGAGTATTCACTGATTCACACTCCTGACTTGTGCCTTGTAGATGGTGGATAGACTTTGAGGAGTCAGGAGGTGAGTTATTAGCTGCAGTATTCGGAGCCTCTGACCTGCTCTTGTAGCCACTGCATTTAAGTGGTGAGTCCAGTTGAGTTTCTGGTCAGTGATAACCCCCAGAATGTTGATCATGGGGGATTCAGTGATGGTAATACCACTGAATGTCAAGGAGCGGTGGTTAGATTGTCTATTATTGGTGGTGATCATTGCCTGGCATTTGTGTGGCATGAATGTTACTTGCCACTTGTCAGCCTGGATATTGTCCAAATCTTGTTGCACTTGAACATGGACTGCTTCAGTATCTGATGAGTTGAGAATGGTACTGAGCATTTATGCAAGCATCAGCGAATATCTCCACCTTACCTTATGATGGAGGAAAGATCATTGATGAAGCAACTGAAGATGGTTGGGCCGATGACACTATCCTGAGGAGCTCCTGCAGCGATATCTTGGAGATGAGTTGATTGACCTCCAACAATCATGACCATCTTTCGATGTGCCAGGTATAACTCCAAGCTCTGGAGATTTTTCCTCTAATACCCATCGATTCCAGTTTCCACCAAATGAAATGTATAATAGCATTATGGTTTTTGACATACTAAACTCTGTAATGGATGTTTTCTCTACCAGAATTAAATCTTTATTAAGTCATTCATGAAGTCCCAGCTGTCGCAATTGATCCAATTCTATACCTTCAGAAGGATACCTGGGCCTTTGAAGGTCACAGGGGAGACTTATTTGAATGGTGGTGAAGAGGGACTTTCAGAAGTGAAGACACTAAACGGAAGTCTTGCTACAACTGTATGTGGTGTTGGTGAGACCATGCCCGAGTATCCTGGGTGCAGTTTTAGTGTCTTCGTTTTAAAGTGGGGTACACTTTCATTGGAGGCAGTTCAGAGATGGTTTGTTGATTATTGGGGTGAAGAAGTTGTCTAATGATTAAAGTGTTAAGCAGTTTGTAACTGTTCATTGGAAGACTGAGCGGTGATCTGATTGAAATTATGAGGTTCTGAGTTGATTTGACGAGCTAGATGCTGTAAGAATGCTTCCCCTTAAAGGATTACTTGGGGACTCTCCCATTCAATACGGAGATGAGAAGGATTGTTAATCTTTGGAGTTGTCTACTCCAGAGAGCAGTGGAGCTGAGGTTATTAAATATGTTCAATACTAAGTTGAACAGATTTTTGATACAGATGGTAGTGAAGGGTTATCAGGTACACGTAAGAAAGTGGAGTTTAAAGCATGCTGCTATAAGTGACAAAACAGCTTTGAGGCCAAATGGCTTAATCCTGCTGCTGTTTCTTTGTGCTTAAGTGCTTTGCAATGTAGTTTGCTGTGGAATGGATTTTCCTTTGATATTTTGCTGAGTTATATTTTCTACTCCAGTCACTGTAGGCTGATTTGTTTAAAGATATCTGACTTGTTTGTTAAGTTTATTGATTGGTCTGCTGTAATTGTTCAGTGCTTGACAGTACTTGTTATTTGTATGGGAGCAATGTCACAGATTGACGATAAACACTTTCTTGCAAAATCATTTGTAAGTACTGTGTACTCTCAGTATTGTTTCTTTTGTCTTTATACAGTGACACTATCTGTTTTTATTCTCATGAGCTATCTTGCCTAGCAGTCAGTTTGTTGTCAGGTTTGATGACGCCACTATACAACTGGCTTGTCAGCCACCTGCCTTTCATTCATATCTGATAACTTTGCTGTCATTGGATAAGTTGCTTGGGTCTTTGGTTCACTCAGCTGCATTGTGGCTAGTGCTGTTATTAGACTTTTCGAATTACAGCAGTACAAGTAATAAGAGACATTACCAAATCTAAACTTTGAACTATTAACATACTAATAGTTGAGTGCATTCCTGTTTTCAACATATAGAACATAGAACATAGAACATTACAGCGCAGTACAGGCCCTTCGGCCCTCGATGTTGTGCCGACGACTGTGAAACCAATCTGAAGCCCATCTAACCTAAACTATTCCATTATCATCCATATGTTTATCCAATGACCATTTAAATGCCCTTAAAGTGGGCGAGTCTACTATTTTTGCAGGCAGGGCATTCCACGCCCTTACTACTCTCTGAGTAAAGAACCTACCTCTGACATCTGTCTTATATCTATCACCCCTCAATTTAAAGCTATGTCCCCTTGTGCTAGCCATCACCATCCGAGGAAAAAGGCTCCCACTGTCCACCCTATCTAATCCTCTGATCATCTTGTATGTCTCTATCAAGTCACCTCTTAACCTTCTTCTCTCTAACGAAAACAGCCTCAAGACCCTCAGCCTTTCCTCATAAGACCTTCCCTCCATACCAGGCAACATCCTGGTAAATCTCCTCTGCACCCTTTCCAATGCTTCCACATCCTTCCTATAAGGCGGTGACCAGAACTGTACGCAATACTCCAAATGCGGCCGCACCAGAGTTTTGTACAGCTGCAACATGACCTCATGGCTCCGAAACTCAATGTCTCTACCAATAAAACCTAACATACTGTACGCCTTCTTAACAACGCTATCAACCTGGGTGGCAACTTTCAGTGATCTATGCACATGGACACCGAGATCTTTCTGCGCATCCACACTACCAAGAATCTTACCATTAGCCCAGTACTCTGTATTCCTGTTACTCCTTCCAAAGTGAATCACCTCACACTTTTCTGCATTTAATAATACCATATAATTTCTAATGTCTAGGCTGTAACTGTCCAGTGCTTTCAATTTTAAATTTTAATATGTCAACTTAAATATTCAACTAGTGTTCAATGTAGCATGAAGGAAAGAAAATTATACTGGACCTGTGTCATCAGCAAGTCAGCTAAGATGAAGAGTATTGAAAAATTATTTACTGTTTGATTGTATCACCAGAAAATTGTTGTCATGCTGTGGAAAGCCTTGTGAAGCACCAGAAGAACTGTACTTAGAATGAACAATTTCTGTTCTAATTCTTGGCACCTTGGAGAAAGAAAATTCATAGATGATTAAGTGACTTATGCTGAAAATCAAAGAAAAATTAGTCCTACTTTGATTCCTTAAGCTATAAGCACAGACATAGTAATTATTAAGTGAATGGGAAAGGATAACATTAGATAAATTGAACTAAATGTCTTAATTTAAAGTGATAATGGCATTTTAATTTAAAAATATGACCATTTGTATAATATTTATTAACTTGGGTGAATTTTACTAATGTTGGTTTTAACAGAAGAGTGAATTGACATGGATAAGCGCCTGAGAAGGAAAAGACATTTAGGGAACAGGCTGGTTAGTGGGATCTGCATATTTGCTTTGGCAAGTAGGCATATGAACATAATGGGCTGAATGGGCATCATTGATGTTGTAATTGTTTGATGATTCTATATAAATCAACATTTATTTATAAGAAAAGTTTAAATTTATGTAGAAGACTAATGTAATAGCATGAATCAGTTTAAAGGACTACAGTTTAAAGAATCACCCAAATTCTCACAGTTCTAATTATTGCAAATATAGAGGGCAGGATTTTTCCACAGGCTTTGGAATTGCAACATTGGTAGAAGTTGTATTGCTAAGCCCA